GATATAACCTTTTGTTCTTGTTAACTTGATGTCATTGTAAAAACACCTGCATAATCTGGTGATTGAACTCTTTAAATATTTTTTTACTTTGGAAAATACTAATAAAGCCAATTTAGTCATTTCTACCTAATTAAATTATAGGCTTCACTAGTTGTCCTAGCTACATTTTTATTATTTTGCATTCACCATGACAAAAGCAACTTATAAGAGAATTCACATATTAGTACTAACAATTCCAGAGACAACAGTCCATGAACCTCATGGCAGCAGAGAACAAGACAGCAGGCTGGCAGTCATGTTGTTGGAGCAGCACTGAGAGCTTACATCTAATCCACAACCAAGAGTCAGAGAAAAAGAAAGTCAATTTGAACCTTAAATCCTGCTCTCAGTAATACACTTTGTCCCAAATAGTTCTACCAAATGGAAACCAAGCATTAAGTATATGAGCTTATGTGGTGCATTCTCATTCAAGATGCCACATAGGTATAAATCAAACTTTAAACTAGAATTTAATGATTCTGAGGATATGTCTTAGTAGTTAGCAAAGCAAGTGACTTCTATACAAATCACTGACACGCTTGAAAACTGACAATCATAGCATTAATGGGTTATGCAGGTGGAGGTCTGGATCTCCCTAGCCAACCGGGATAGGTAAACAGTTTGAGTTTAATGAGAAACCCTTTCTCAAAAACTAAAGTAGAAAGCTATTGAGGAAAGGACCAACATTATTGTCTGGCCTCTGCATGGAAGCAATACACACACATGGGTACATTTACCATGCAACACACACATACAATAGAGAAGCAAATAAATAATAAAAATAGTTTCTGAATACAATCAATCATATAGGAGAAATAAAAGGCTAAGCAGAACACTACTAGTGGAATATCCAAGTGGTATGGTGCAACAAATCAAACTAATTGTTCCAGCCTCCCAATGTGCCTTCCATAACACTGTATGATTTTTCAAAAGGAAGACTTCTTACGTGTTTTGTTCCTCTATACTTAAAGTCAAAGTAAAAATACAAAATGGGGATTCTGCTACCAGAAACATGCTTGTTTATCGTGTTGGATGCTATCCAGAACTGAGCAGTCCAGAATATTCTGACAGTGTCTCAAGCAGAAAGGATACCAAAAAGCCAGAAACACACACTACCACCACATTTTCACATATTCTTTTGTATATGTCTATGAATCTCTAAATTAACTTACTTAGAAAACTACTAAGTGAATATTAGTTTGATGTTATTTGCCAAATATCAGTTATATTATTTGTAAAAGTACAGTCTATAAAATGAGAATCAGAAGTCTAGTGTTCGTGCAGACTACTGGAAATACTTCAGAAGACAATCCTATTGTAAGGGATAGAAACTTAACTGCAGCAGTCACTTTAAAATGGGTTTTAAATATATAACAAGCTTCCATTAAGCTACAGACCATCCATCATTTCTATCTTTTGTGTGTTGGGGGCTACCAAATACCTGTAAATAAAAGACTTGTTAAATTTTTCTTGCTTAATTTGGTTATGTTTTTGGTTTCTTAATTAAGCCGTGGAGTTTTATACAATATATCCATGCATATAATATTTGTGTTTAAAGGGATAGATAAATACTAAAGAGAAAATATTGATAATTTCCCCCTAAAGTATTTCATACTGCCATGTTACAGTTCATTCATTGTTCCTCTTGCACCTTCATATTCTGGGATGATAGTTTGTCAGCTCCATTTATTTTCCAATTCCATTGTGAAACATCATTCCTGTCGCTCTGATATATGCATATACGTGTGTGTTGTTTTAAAAGATATTTTACATTTACACATATGCATATTTAATATTTGTGTGCATCCATGAATCTTTATATGAATATGTGTAGTGTAAAAATAAATCATAAACAATATATTTACTTCACTCACAATCAGCCTAGTTTCATATTTGGAAATACACAGTGTTTAATTCAAATTTGTTTTATGTAATCAGTGTTTATTGAAAATATAAATATAGTATATATTTATTTATATTTAAAATTTAGCGGCTAATACATTGTCACCAGTGTAAATTAGTACTTAATTAACCCATTTGGTGGAGATTCAGGGTCTACAGATGAATCTTCAGAATGTATGGTGTAGGATTATTTCATCTTGATTTCCTCTGTTTTGTTTGACTTCTGTTTGTGTGATTTTTTGTCCTGTGGAGGTCTTCTGGTCCCTCAGAAGGCCAGCTTGATGAAATAGGTGAGATAAGGTTGATTAGACCAAAATCTCCCTTGTAGTCACAGATGGTATTTTGATTTCATTTTCTATGTTCATGGTAGTACAGTTTATGATTTTTTTAGAAGAAAGCACATTTATAAAAGACATACAATTTGTTTATACAGCAGAGGGCCAACTCTATTCTTTCCTTCCAAACAGGAAACTGAAACAAATGTGCAGACAATTTGAGAAAATGAACTCTTTTTCTTCATTTTGACTTGACTTTTCTAAATGTTCAGTACATCCTCTTGAATTAAGACTTTCATTTGCTGAACTGACTGATTTTTAATTTTCATTAAATTTACTTTTATTAAATTGTGTGTGAGAGTGCACACTCACAGGCTATCCCTTATTATTCTACCATCCAACATGTGGGTCCAGAAAGTCAAACATGGGTTGTTAAGTTTGGTGGCAAGCTCCTTTATGGGCTGAGCCATTTCATGGAATCCAATGCCCATGAATTTATGGTGACTATTTGCAATAAAACTTTCTGATGGTCATGCTTACTTAGTTGTCCAGTGAATTGCCCACATGTGGAGATAATTAAAACACAGTGCAGTCAGTCCTCAGGCAAGCTGACTTTCAGGTGGAACTTATGATGTGACCCCCTTTAGTTTTCTTGCTCTGTCAGCTCCATTTCATGAGACATTGTAGGGATAGTGAAGTGCTTGGATTTTACCAGCAGAGAAGCTGATTCAAAGTCGGTGCCTTTACTTATCCATTTTGACCACCCCTTTCTCTGTCCAGGTACTGTGAAGAACAATACTGCACAAGACACTTTTGGTAATACTAAAAGAAATAAATTACATAAAATTCCTAACATATTGCAATCCCGCTCAGCCTCAGTATTGTTTCTCCATGGGACTGAGACATGTTTGTTGATATAAGACATGTTAGTTCTGAAGCACCAATGTAATAGCTGTAGAGTTAAGTGACAGGCAGTTTGAAGTAGTGGGAAAGATTTGCTATTTTCAAATGCTAATTGACAAATTCTTACAATAACTTCGTCTTTCTACAGAATTTAATTAAATCTCAGAGGATGGAGAGTTTAACATGATGATTAACTTTTGAGTCCATACTTAATGATATAATTACTTCATTTGAGTCTGAAAACATATAAAGTTAATGTTTCTGAGTGTTTCAAAATATCCTGCAGCTTTATTTTAAAGTTTCCCAACCTATACCCTCTGATGAAAGATTCATAATTATCACCCATCACCGTGATTCCCATCTTTATGTTTTTAAATTGAATTTATAGAGCCTTCTTCTGGCAGTAGTTTGTGTAAGTAGCTTATATGGTTCCTTATAGCTAAGTGTATTTCTCATTCTTCTACCAAATTTCACTCATCATATTTATAGATGTGTTCCTTTTCCATACAACTACAGGGAGAGTTAAGTTGTAAGGACATATGGAATTAACATAAAGATTCAAAATGTCAAGGATTTCTGAATTTTTTTCATATTCTGCATTCTTTAGTATCTTTTCCAGGTGCATTTATTGATAGACAACTTACTACTGATACTTAATAATTTAATATGCAATTGCACTATTCTCATTTTCTTTTTTTTTACTTGGTGACTAAATCATAGTGAATTCTCAGATTCCATATGGTTTATCTTAGTCACAATAGGCTTTACAATGTCTGCTTTTTGTTGACAAAAGTATTTCACCCTGCATCTTAAAATGAGACCTTAAACTTTCCCTAAACATGATAAATTGCATTGAAACTTTGAAATATTTTCTGCTAATACTGAACATGCCAAGCAATAATTTTCAGTCATTAAAATCTAATATATAAAACTGAAGGGACTGCTATAGTTGTGACCACTGCATCAGTTAACTTCCTCTTAGAACATTTAATAATTAATAGCCCAAATTATTAGAATGTTTGTACAGTCCTGAAAGTTTCCTTCTTCTGAATTTGATTATTTGATAGCTGAAGAATTTTAGCAGAGAGAAAATTTATGCCAGCAATGTCTCATTACAAAAAGAGAAATCTTTTCAGGATCAAAGGTCTTATTATTATTTATTCGCCACCTGGACTCTGGCATGTCCTATATGAAAATCCCCACTGTGGTGTTCAACTAATCTTTATATTAAATTCACTTATGATGAAAGTCATAATTACAAAGTAAGTTTAGTCAGCAGCAAAGCAGCTTTGTATTCATAATGAATTGTTATCTGAGATATTTCTCCTTCTCTTTTAGACCATTTTAAGGTACAAACATAAAATAATAACTTAAGTAAACTAAAATTATTTTTAGTAGTTTTATGGTACCCTATTTTCAGATAGTAGACACATTTCATCTGTGAATTGTTTGTAATTCTTTTTGTGGCATAAAACTAATCACGGAAATTTACCTTTAAGGAAAATAGTAAATACTGAATTAACACCAGACAACACACACACACATAAAAATATTCACACGCACTCATTCTTTATATTTTGATTTTTAAAATTTTGCATGCCAATTGTTTCTCTAAAGCAGCTTTCCTCTGATGGTGAACTTCATCACATTTATTTTCTTCATAGTTGTTAAATCAAGCTAAAGATCAGCCTAGTGACCCCTAGTGCCTAATCTTACATTCTCTTAACCAGTAATAAAGAACTTTGCCAATCTGACATGTTGTCACAGCAATTATTCAGAAGACGTTCTGTAGCAGTAGTATCTGTCAGCCCATGCAGTAGTAAATATTTTACCTGGCAGTCTTCCAAGACTGAACATTAATCTTACAATCTCCTATTACAGTCCCTAATCAAGATATTCAAGGGGTGATTGCACTAACATTGTTTGAAGACTACATCTACTGGACTGATGGGAAAACCAAGTCACTCAGCCGTGTCCATAAAACCTCGGGAGCAGACAGACTCTCACTGATTAACTCATGGCATGCCATCACAGATATCCAGGTGTATCATTCTTATAGACAACCTGATGGTAATTATTCTTTCCATGATTTCCATAATGCATCTACATTTTCAAGCAACATTTCATGTTTTTATTATTTCAGGTTTAACTATAATTTCAATCTTGATAAGAATGATCAGATATCATTATTTAGCTTTATTTTATATAATGACATCAGTTCATGTAAAGTGCTTCTATTGCAGGATATGATTAGAAGCTCAATTATAGCATAAATAATTATTGATCTGTTCAAATATTAAGCTGAAATGTGAGCAATGCATGTAGTCAGAGAAGTGTAAAATATATCCTTAAGTAATTCAGTATGGGAGATCTACAGTGTCCTGAATTTCTAGAAATCTGGCTAGAAAAAAATCTATTTCAATAGTTTGGGATTCTAAAATTGCAAATATCCAATAAGTTACATAGGTTTCTACCAGACCGTGTTGAATAAAGATGTGATCGCTTTTCTGTACTAAAACACAAAACTTCATGCTTGTAGCTCATTGTTTCATTGCTTTATTTTACATTTATACTTCTAAGCATATGTATTTCTTCACCCCAAATACTTCTAGTCTCTTTACTTTTCTGATAAGCAATTATTTTAACTAACAGACTTGTTTTTGTAGAAAGCATTTAAAATTAATGAAATCAGAGATCGAGTAGCATTATTAGATATATTCATAATTTTTACAGCTTCAAATTACAAAGATTTACTTAATATATATTATGATACTTGAAAATTCAGCCTCAAATGCCATATTACATTACTGTTCTTGATACTTTCATTTTGCTGTGTCTTTCTCATCTCTAGTCTCCAAACATCTTTGCGCAGTGAATAATGGTGGCTGCAGCCATTTGTGCCTGTTAGCCCCTGGGAAGACACACATCTGTGCATGTCCCACCAACTTCTACCTTGCAGCTGACAATAGAACTTGTTTGTCAAACTGCACAGCCAGTCAGGTGAGTTGAATTCTGGAGTCATCACCTGGGTTGTTTGTGTATGCCGCTGTTAAACTCTGGCCTGAGTCTGCTTGTGTGCTTAAATAATTTATAGAACCATTTTTTGTTACTATGTATCGTGAAATGAGTAATCTATCTAGGCACTGCCACATAGTCACAGAATCTGGAGATAGCAGTTTAATGCAAACACTTAAAATAGGATTCGCCACATTAGAGAACAAATAGAGACCAGGAAGAAAACAAAGGGAAAAGAAAATCTATTCTACCAAGATTCACAGAGAACTATGACTCCAATACAATGTGTGCAGAATTGTAGGATGAGACAGACATTTTACACAGGTCAAAAATAATGGTGATGATGACACAATTTAACAAAAGTTGATAGAGTTTCAATAATCACATTAGCTTCTGGATACCCAAACTTTCCTGAATATCACACCCTGAAAATACAGGCAAAGTGTAAACTGAATATAGGCTTTTTGACTTGTATTAATATATAATAAAATAATGTACTTGTGAAAACTATCAAAATTTGCTTATTCTCAGTAAGGATATTACAGAAAAAAAGTCTACTTAATGGTAGTCAATTATATGGAGTTGATTTTATTACTTTCTAGTAGATTTTGTAAAGTAGTTATATGGCAGTAATCATTGTACTTTGTTACTACAGAGCCAGCCATCTTGTTTGGTTTGGGATACAATTGTTAAATAAGACAGGAACATTTCTTTAAACCAGTAAATTTGTTCTTTCAATTCTATACTTTGAATTTGCTCATTTTTGGCAAGTAGAGGGAATCTCCTTGCCAAAGATTTTATTTTCAATTGAACTCCTATGAAGCAGAAGCCAGTACTAGCTCATCTCACCTCTGAAGGCAAAGCCCCACTCATCACACAGGAAGTCAATGTTTTAAGAGACTTGGGGCGTTGGCTGAATGGCACACAATCTGTGGCTACATCCCTAGCTCTGCTTCATTCTGATGAGATCAGCTGAGTTTGTTCCCGTACTTTTCTCATCTTTTAATTGGGATAATTATCTTAATCCATTTTCTGATGCTATATAGAATTCCATAAGCATGAATTTATAAAGGAAGTAGATCTATTGTATGATTTTGGTGGCTCTGAAATCTACCATCAAAGTGCTACATCTGGTAAAGCAAGGGATGAGAAATCTAGATGGCATAGGACAAGAACTCATGAAAGCCTTCACAATATGTATGCCTCAATGATTATTTTTCATGGCATTTAAGGGCACAGAAAAGTTTATATGATATAGTGTGTGTAGTATAAACACATAACAATTCCAACTTTTACAGTAAAAGTAGCTTAAATTTTTATACTGGTAAAACGAATAAAACAAACAAAAAGTTAAACATAAAAACAAAGTATACCTAGTCTCATGATATCTAACCTAGTCGGCCACAGAGAGAAGCATTCATCATTCAGGAGTGGCAATTACCTTTGAAAGTGAGTCTTGGAAGGGATATACAAGCAATGGAAATAATATTTTCAGAACATTGTTATGATAATTAAGTGGACACAGTTCTTCAGACTTCAGAACAGTAGTCGTTCAACCTCAGTATCACTGAAGCTGGAATACAAGTGTGCACTTGGTTAAAGCTGTCATGAGGAGGACCTGGTGTTGATCTCAAACCAGAGGCCATAGACTTTGCTGTACAGAATGTGTGTTATGAGTTTAAGCTACGGTGAAAAGTAACATCACCAACACGATTTATACAAGTAGAATTTAAAGGAGAAATTAACTTTTTTCAACTTAAAATAAAATTTATATTAGCACTGTCTGGTGAAGTTTTCAAACCTCTGTCTTACTGAGAGGAACTCCTTAGCCCTGTGTTCCCAAGTGATCTTTGCATCATCAGTCTGTTGAGGTTTGACCCCGAGGTGCCCTGACTGATGCCAGAGAGACAAATACTTGCCTATAGTGTGACTCACCCTGTCACTGAAAACAGAGTAAACTAAAACATGATATCTTCTGCCATGAGATGCCAGCTTTTCCACTGCAGAAAAAGGAGTGAAACTTTCAAAGCACTATAAGAAGACAAGAAATAATATATTGTACATATGATAAGTTCCCACTCTGATACCACTGAGACACAGCACTTGTAAACCTTAAAACCTCTTCAAGAGACTTTACTCTGGACTTAAAAGAATCCGAATCACAAGGAATGGGCATATGCATGTTGCGTATTTGTGTGTGTGTGTGTGTGTGTGTGTGTGTGTGTATAGTATGCATGCCATACCTGCATGTTTATGTATACAGGGCACACACATATGGGTAAAATTATCAGTTTGTCTGTCTGACTCCAAGAATAAATAAGAAGCCTAAGCCATTCACCATGCTGACCCTCTAGTTGTTTCCTCACACTTTTTTTCTGGTGTTGTAAAAGAAAATCTCCCCAGGGAAACCCTTTTGGAGAAAACACTGAATAAAAGAACACAATTTTTGGTGAGTTTGAAATTTAAACAAAGCAAGTAAACTAAGTAGTTGGGATTCACTTCATTAAACATTTTGATAACAGAAATCAAGTTTTCAGTGGTTGCATAGATATCTCATTCAATAAAATGCTTTTCTTTCAAGCAGAGGGGACATAACTTGACTCTCAGGGTTCACATTTAAACAACACCATCAAACAGAACAAGCAAGAGGACAACAGGCACTGTGGCTTTAGTTTTAAATCCGAGGGCTGAGAAAGTTGAAGCAGTTAGATCTGTGACCAGCTGTCCTTGCCTATTATGAGCTCCCAGCCAGAGAAACCCTGTCTCAAATCCAGATGGAAGATACTCTGAAAAATAACAAACAAAATTTACCTTTGGCCTGCCTCTTCAGACCACAATCAGGCTCATCCTCCACATACTTGTCCTTGCATCCATGTGTACAAGCACACATATAAACACATATAACCATATATATATATATACAAGGAAAAACGGAGAAACCCTGTCTCGAAAAGTCAAAATTTAAATAAATAAAAAGTAAAATAAAAATCCAAATATCAATTGAATGCTACTAAAGCGTTTGCTCTTTTATTCTTTAGTAATTGCTATCAATAATAGATTCCGAAATGGTATAAGATTTTTTTTCTGAGACAGGGTTTCTCTGTATTGCTTTAGAGGTTGTCCTGGAAGTCTGCTCTGTTGACCAGGCTGACCTCAAACTCACAGAGATCTGCCTACTTCTGCCTCCCGAGTGCTGGGATTAAAGGCACTAGCCACTAATGCCCAGCATAATTTTTATAAAAGCAAAATAGTCAAGATATTCCAGCATATATTCTCTTGGAATTAAAACACAGAGAATCTATTCAAAATCAAGATTAAATCCATTCATAAAACTTATCATTCAAGATGGGCAGTGGTGGTGCACACCTTTAACACCAGCACTAGGTAGGCAGAAGCTGGCGATTTTTCTGTGAGTTTGAGGTCAGCCTGGTCTACAAGAGCTAGTTCCAGGGCAGCCTCCAATGTCACAGAGAAACTCTGTCTCAACAACCCCCCCAAAAAAAGTTATCTTTCAAGGCATTTGATTTAAATCATTGTAAGTGGAAGAATCATTGATCTTAATATGGCTTAAAAGTTCAATCATAATTCACTGTACATGGGTTTGCATGTTTCCTATTCTCCGAGTTTCTTTTGATGAGTGATAATTTTAGTCTAAAATTTATTTGATGAGCCAGGCGGTGATGGCTCACGCCTTTAATCCCAGCACTCGGGAGGCAGTGGCAGGCAGATCTCTATGAATTCGAGGCCAGGCTCGACCAACAGCCTCCAAAACAATACAGAGAAACCCTGTCTCGTAAAAACAAAAAAAAATGTATTTGATGAAGCTACCAGTCTTGGAAATTGTCCACCAAGATGCAAGATGCATATTTTAACTTTTCTGAAGCTGAATTTATTGTTATTATTTAATTAATTATTAGTTATGCAAGAACATAAAATCTGATAGCTAGGACAGTTCCATTTTGCCACAAATACAAAAATCACTGTGGACGAACAGGCAAAACAGTTTAACATTGGTTAAGAAGTTAAAAGTAGTGTGTGTGTGTGTGTGTGTGTGTGTGTGTGTGTGTGTGTGTGTACATGTATATACAAATTTTCACAGGCACTCACACACACATGCACAGGCACATAAAGTTTATGTCCCTGTGTTTACCAGGAAACCAATACTTCTTGTTACTATAAACCTAACTTGTGCCCCTCAAATAGTTTACCTGACAAATTACCTCTAAATTAATTACAATATCTATAGTTTTAAAATCTTTAAAAACAATACAACTTTCAATAATATCTATTGCAAATTTTCTTTCCTTTTTATAGATTCAGGAGTGTCCTCAAAATAAACAACAGAAATGAAATTCAATAATCTGGGCTTGAAAGTCATCCAGGGAAATTTCCCTCACATAATCAACTTCTACTTTTCTTTGATATCTAGTGGAGTTAGGAGAGTGGCTGTGTTTATTTTAGAACCACTTGAAGGTACGAAAGAAATGGCTTTGAAGAGCAGCCCACTTCTTTTTTAAACCCCGATGGATTTAGAATGGTACTATTCTCTTTTGGTGACTTCCCAAATTTTTTCTGGGTCTTGAGTTGGAGAATGTTCAACATTTAAGATGTCATGCAATATTCTTCTAGGAATCTTGGTTCTGCTTGCAGCATGATGTAACAATTTCTCAGAGGTAGCCATGTCATCAAAATTACAGTATCTATTTCTTTTGTTCTGTTTTGTTTTTTGGGGGGAGGGAGCAGAGTGATTTCTTTAGAAAAACCATTCCAGGAGACCTTAATATAATTGGCTTTGGTAGGAAGAGTAAGCCTTTGTGTCAGATTGGGGGGGGCTGGTTTAAGTTTCTGTTCCAGCAGTGATTTTTTCCTCTTCCTTTTTGGACTTCAATAGAAAAATTCTCGGCAGCTAACAAGTCAGATTTTGGCACTGCACCCTTAACAGAGGCAGTTGCTTGGTTTTGGAAAGTCTTTATGTAGTTCACTTA